TGATGTCCGTGACGTCACCGGATCTCCTCCCCCCTTCCCTTTGTTAGCCGACAGCCACTTGGGCCGGTGATCTGTCGACACTGAGAACTTATCGCCAGCCAACGCATTGGCCTATACACATACAGCACAGCAATGAAGTAGTAAAATGAACTAGGATCACACTAATCCAGCACGTTATTATTCTGAGTTGCCCCACTCAAGCAGCGGCCATATTGAGTGGGGTTAATAACGTGCTGGATTAGTGTGATCCTAGTTCATTTTATTACTTCTTTGCTGTGCTGTATGTGTATAGACCAATGTAGTTGGATCTGTATGTGCGTTATCATTAATCGAAACTTATCGATTAATCGATTAAAAAAAAATTGTATTAATCGAACACGTAAATTTTAATCAGTACCAGCCTTATAAAATTGTCTATAGTTGACCTGGAAAATACAACTTTCTGTATTGTAAAGCATCACACAGAACCCAAGGGAAACAACAGCTCTAAAAGTTTTCATTCCTTGTATGCCTTGGCAAAAGGAAACACAATAGGTGCATGCAACCATCAAGCATCCATATCCAATTTCATAATGGACCCAAACTTAATGATTGTAGGTTTCCTTTAACTCAGCCTTTCCCTTTATAGAAGTTTGATCTCCTTACCCGGCAGGTGCATTGAGTGCAGGGATCACTTTCCAGTGAAAATGTCTGATGGTTTAACACTTTCCTCCCTTCATATGTGCAGTCTGCAGTGACACAAACATTAGTATATGAAGAACATCACAACTAAGAGAAAAATTCTGGCAAGTTCCTACCTCGGCACACAGGACAACACTCTCCCTCATCATGGAAGGGGTAGGTACAGTTGGGTGCACATTCTATAGGAGAGCAGGCTACTGTGCCCATCTGCAAAGAGTAAAAACAGTAACTAAGATAGATCATATCTAGCATGACATAAACTGCAATGGGTTACAAGCCAAAATAGTTGGTCAATCTGCTGTCTTTTAAACTGACCCTGGGAAACATGTACAGCATTACTGTAGACTAAAATATATTAAGCATGTTTCCTTTAAAATTATTCCCTTTAAAGGAAACCTGTACTGTAAAATGTAATAGGCACCATTGCCTAACTCTACTTACCTGGCCATAATGCTGATCCAATGGCTTTGATAGCATGAGTCACTGACATGTTCCCTAGCCACACACTTGTCCTGAGCAGTGACTAAAAGTATCAAATCCAGAGACAGCAAGGACACTGACATTTTCAGGAGGCCAACAATGGCAGGCTTCATGTGTTTCTTAATACAGGTTTCCTTTAATATGACTATGTTCCTACCTGCCATAGGTGATTACATTTTTTAGAATAGAGTCTTACACAGGTTTTCAGTTGGCAGTAATGTGGCGTGTTGCAAGTAGTCACCAAAGCTTTAATCACATGACATTTTTGATGTGCTAATATTTTGGCTACTCGTATTGTCATGATAATATGGATTGCTGTTAGTGCAAGGGTTTGGTTAGGTTTTCCCTATGGGGTTATGTTGAAATTAGGATTAAATAAGGGACTATTATATTTTCTGCTGTCCTAAATACATTTTCTCGGTGTGATAAGTGTCTACTGCACACAATAAAATGTATTCATGCCCTGCGAACATTGGTGAACATTTGTTTTGGCCGAATAACGACAAAAACATTTATGTGAAACACCCGGTACCGGGTGTTCGCATTGGACGGGTCTTTTCTGCCCGTGCGTGCCCGCTAGGGGGCGCGCGCGAGCAGAAAAAAAATGCCGTCTGGCGACGGCAACCCGCGATTGCGACAGTGCCGTCCGTCCGTTTTTCTACTACGGGCGGACGGCAACTGGTTAAAAAAGAAATCCTGGAAAAATTACTCTTAACCTTTGTAGTGAGGCTACCCCCGCACTGCAAGGGTTAAGTGCTCATTTTTGTCAAGGGCGTAAAATAATAAAGTTATACTCACCTTAACCTTGCAGCCAGCTGGATGTTAGAGCACACCCTCCAGCCTGTCTCTTCCTTTGCTGCAGAGATGGTATGCACCTTGGCATCGTTATATCCAATACACAGCGTGTAGCGGAGGAGAGAGGCTAGCAGGACCGGTCTAACAGCCAGCCGGCTGCAAGGTTTAGATGAGTATAACATTTTTATCTTACAATCACTCGCAGCACGTGTCCTTCCCGGGAACGGCCCAATACGGCCATGCATGCCGCTCGGATCTGTATGGCCCCACTCTACCCTGTGTGAATGAAGCCTTAATGCTGTTAACCTAGAGCTACATAAGTAATTCAATCTCTTTGCCACTGAAAGATTTCACTACTGGATGAGCGTCACTCATTTTAGAGTGCTGAAAATGAGGTTACTGCCAGAGATGAGCTTCTTGCTATTAATGGCTGATGCAGCTCTAGCCTTAGTGCTCCCTACAGACTGGATTTGGGAGATACAGCAACCAATCCAGGAAAACTGGTTCCTAAACACTGCTTACCAGACAGATGCAGGTGAGACAGGGATCAGAAGTGGATGGAAAGCTTTCGTCGTTTTTGTATGTTCTTCGCCCATATGAGCAACCTTCAAGATAACAGGCATCAGTTATGACAAACAGCATTAAAGCCCAATTGAACTAAATATATTCTAGGCGCATCAAAGCAAAACATGTTCAAAGTCCCAAAGTTCATTTTCTTCAGAAGGTAGCAACAGCCTGAGTAGAAAAGCCTGTGCACTGCCCACAACTGCAGAGTGGGACCCTTGTTTTCTCAGGGGGAGCAGTAGTCTCTCTGCAGAGGTTTAATACACCCCCTTTTAGGTTAGAGACAAAGCACTCCAGTCAGGGGGGAGCATGATCATGCTGATTGCAGAGCTACTGGCCTCACTCAACAGGGGGCGTGTCAGACCTCTGTAGATTGCACAAAGAGCAAAGGTCTCATTGTGCAGCATGCTGCCAGGGGAAAGGCTTTTTTACTCAGGTTGTGGCTACTCTTTAAAGAAAATGAACTGTAAGATGTTGGGCACCCTTTGTTTTGATGCACCTGGAAGTTTCTAACTTTCTGTTAAGACTTAGTAACATTTACATATTGCATATCTGAGGAGAATGTTCTTTGATTGGAACTATAGTTGTTTTATTCTTTTAAGATATACCAGTGAAATATGGGGGAATATTTGAACTTCTTCTTCGAACTTCTCTTCTCATAGTGCAGTGGTTATACTTGACCGGCCAATAGCCAACGCTGAATGCTGTCATTTGGAGGCAGGAGGAAGGTCATTCTAACACAGAGCCTACACTCAGGGCTCCTGAAAGTAAACAAGGCAGGAACGTACCCCATATAGTAGTGTGTGGGGATGGCAGGCAATCAAGAGAACCTGTCACCTTGTCCTGAATGGTACATCTAAAGCTCATTACCTGCAGAGCAGTCAGGGCAGCACTGTCCGGGCACAATAATAGGATGAGGACAGTTCTCCACACAGTCTGTTTTCTTACACACAATGGTGCTGTCTGCCTAAATGAAACAATATTAGATACTGTTATCAGCTATTGTGAGTTTTAACAAAACAGCAATAGTTAATATCTGTGGGATTACTGTTGTACAGGTACTGTGGTATGGATGGAAATCATTCATATCATGGCATTGGTGACATATGGAAATCAGTGTATGTGAGTTTTGGTAAAGTTAAAGAGTTAGGCCTTTTAAAACTGATATTTCATTAATGGATGAATGGTAGTAGATTGAATCCCTCAGTGATGTGATATTAGCTTTGTAGTTAAATTAGCAATAATGTGTAGCCTCTGTATTCATGACTTACTCATTTTTGAGTTATGTATTTTCATCCAGTAAAAGGTCCTCAATGGGCATGCATTGCTGTCTCCATAGGGTAAATATTATTATATTAAATATAGCATTATGTGCATTAAAGCCCAACTCCAGCCAGTACCAGGGGGTCAGAGGGACAAAAAGTGGTGGGAAGTCTCTGCAAGTGAGACACATACAGAAAAAAAAAAAAAAGTGGCTAAAGGAAAGAACCTCTCTGAGATTTTTTATTGCTGTTAAAGTCTTTCTGTCATGGTGACCCCCATTATCCTCATGTGTAGTCCTGGTGTCAAAAGGATAGAAAAGGAGGGAAAATGTCACCAATGAAGTCACTGTATTATAAGCCTGAAAAGTGTAGATATGCTAGTAGTTTATGAAAGCATGTGTAATTATTATTTTTCCCATAAATTTCATATAAAGGGAAACTAAAATGGTTTGGGTCAGTTGAGTTGCCATTGATTTTTTTATTGCTTTAAGATATTGAAATTATGTTTTATATCTGTTTCTTTTTAGTTTTTACTGCATTATAAAAAAATATAATACATGACAAGGGATTCCCGGAGCTCTGTGGGTTTTCTGAAGAGAGAGCACAGCAGACATTAACTCATTTCAGGCATGATTATACCTCAGAAGGAGGCAATTGTGATTGTGTAGTGGACTCACATACCTGACACTAGAATTTCAATATGATTACAACTAAAGAAGAAAAGTATAAGAGTGGGCTTTGAAGGTGTCATGATTATTGATGAAAACTGCATATCACATATATATCTAATAATTATACATTTATTTAAACTACATTATATTTAAAAAAAAGTCCAACCACACACAAATATATGAAATATATTAAAAATATGACTTAATCCATCTTAGATTGTTTTGCTTACTATAATTAATACATATCACACATGAACCTTTTATGCACACACTTCCCTGATGTAATATCTTAGCATTTGTTTTTTAAAAGTGATATTTTAACAGTATGTACAACTTTATCCCAAATAAGTCCTGGGGAGTTCATGAAGTTTATACTCCGGATGGAGGCATTCAGGGGCTGGAAGAAATCACTGCTCTGATGCATTCACCTGTGTGTGTACATTGTGGCTTGAGATATTGACCTCTGTGAACAACTGAAAATTTACAGCAAAGATGATACTAAAAACTATTTACAAAGTAGCAAAAATCTCCACCTACTGGCTGGATAGGAGAAGATATTATATTTATGTGCAATGTTTCATATGCATACAGTTAAAAAATATTAACGTGTTTAACTTGTAGTGTTTATTTATGACTATAATAAAGAAAGGAATTAGGCAAAACAACTGTACATTTCCTATAGATCCTAAGATATATCTAAACCCAACAAACTTTTTTTTTATACAGTGTAGCCCCCATTACCTTCTGTGAGGTGGCTACTATACATTTAGTGATTGCCAGGGCTGTAGTCAGCCTGGATGGATTATAGTGGCCTTTATCTGGTTAATTTCAGGTGTCTGGCATTGTTTGTACCCCCCTGGGTGGTGTGTGACTCTGCTGCACTGTGGGACAGCCAATGAGGGACACTGTAAGTGTATGTACAGCACGGCAACCAATCACTGGGTTTCTCTCAACCAGTGGTGCATGCTGGGATAGGGTACATATACTGGAGAGAATTGCCATGTGCTCAGACTAGTCTGGACCAGCCATGGATTAGGGCTGGGTGCTGTCCATGGTACTGGCAGAATCACTAGATTAAAATAAAGGGGAAAAGTCTGGAAAAAAAAAAAGAAAAATAGTGCAGCCATTACATCTAAGGACTAGTAAGCTTCACTTATAGTTTTTAGGTTTGGATACACCCTAATATCCAGACGATTGCATGAGCTCAACCGTGACTTGTTCATTTTAATTAGAGTAAGTATGTTTTTTAAGCAGGAATTTTACCTGACAAATGCAGATTGAACAGGGATCCCCAGGAGACCAAATCTGACCAACTGGAATCTCAATTCCATTGTCATCAAATGGACATCCTAGAATGTGGAAGCAAAAAAAGCAATTTAAGTCAAATACTCAGTATAAAGTAGCTCCACCATTTTTTTTTTTTTTACTTTTGTGTAAGGCAGCACAGATTCTAATCCCTTATCAGGCCTTTAACCCTTTCGCTGCCAAGGCCGTACGGCATACGGAGCTACAAAAGTGCTTCCAGCTGGCCAGCTGAGTATGCCGTACGGACCTGGCATTTACAGTTCTACTATAAGCTGATGGTCGCTACAGCGACCACAGTTAAATTAAATTAACTGTGGCAGCGCATGGCAAAGCTTTGTGACGCATTGCCATGCGTTGTGATCTTTGTGTTGCAATAAATATACGCCTGTTTCATTTTATCACAACACAAACACCAACACAGTGTGAAAACAATTTTTTTACATAAGTTGCTTATTTACAGTTTTGCGTACCGTAATTTTTTCACCTTTTCGCAAAAAGGCGCAATTTCAAATTTGCAAATATTTGTTATTTATTAACTCAATACAGTTTTATCTTTTAGATTTAGTAAGAAAATTATTTTGTTTTGTGCGCTGATACTGATTTTAGTGTGTTTTATCAATTGAATTGTGTATTTTTATCGGTTTAATATTAATTTGAGAAACATTTGCGCAATTATCGCACGGCCTACAAATTTAGTATCACCATCTTTTTATTCTACCGGGCCTGCGCTTTCAGAAAATATATGGTTTGGGGGGGGTCTTTTACAAACGCTAACAACGCAGCAATTGAAAATCAAATCAATAGGAAAAAAATGCAAAAAATGCAAAAATGGCTTGGCCAGCTGATTTGAAAAATGTTCCGGAGGGCTTGGCAGCGAAAGGGTTAAAGCTTTGTTCAACCCCAGCGGACATGTATTCCCCATACTAGGCTGGTTGAGAGCTACTGAAAACTGACCCACCTTTGCTCCCTGCAAAAGGACATTTTCCATGTATTCCCATGGATACTTTACTATATGGCCAAGAGTTTGTAGGCAGCTGACTATCACATTTTCTATATGGCCATAAGTATGTGGACACCCCTCTACAATTTATTGAGCTCAGATTTTTTATGTTATTGCTGCAGCATACAAAGACATTTTACACAATTGTGCACTGCCAAACTTGTGGCAGCAGTTTGGGGAAGGGACCTTTCTGTTCCAACAATGTTCTTATGTGTACAAATGCAGGAACTTGCATGGTCTACACAGAGTCCTGACCTCAAACCCACTGAACGCCTTTGGGATAAACTGAAATAGTGACTGCCAGTAAGGTCTTCTTGTCTAACATCAGCACTTCACTTCATCTGATGCTCTTTTGGCTGAATGGCCACAATGTCCTACAAACAACCTCCAGCATTTTGTGGACAGCCTTTCTAGAAGACTGGAGACCATAATAGCTGGGTACGGAGTGGCAAATCCATATTAATACCCATTGATGTATAATGGGACGTCCAACCATCTCATATACTATAGGTCTGATGGACAATTTTTTTTTGTGTAATGGAATTCTTACTTAGAGGCCAGATGTGTCTGAGAAGTTATGAGATGATTCACAAGATAAAAGAAAATTTACAATTTCCATATGCATAACAATGCCAGGATAGACACAGTGTTACTCACCTGCATGTGGTGGTAATTGCTGGCACTTGAAGCAGCATTGTCTGGACTCCAGCACCCAGTCCTCTCTAGGGCACTCGAGACTGGGACATGGGACAAAAGAGCATTCTACTATTCCATTCTAAAAAAAGCAACAAGAGTGCACAATGCAGGGAATTCAGATATATTCCACTGGGGCTGTCTCTACATTAATATATGAATACAACATTTCACAGAGAAGCAAGAATCTGTGAAGTGTATAACAATATTTACAAGAAAAAGCACATAAGCAGAGAAAGAATCTGGAGCCTTACAGACCTGGCACTGACATGATGTACATCCATTTTCATCCCGGCTAAATGTGGCACCATGAGGGTAAATATTTCCTTGGAATTCACAGCCATCTGAATGTAAACAGAGTTTATGACATTTTCAGAGGCAGGCCAAAAAATAATGAAAAAAGCTCTTTGGCTAATCAGAAAATTAGACTTGATTGGCTAATCTTGACAATTACATCTTTTAGACATATTAAATGCAGTACGTGATTAGACTGCAGTCCACATGTACTTTCACTATCAACTAGGAAACTTTTGAAAGTTGTAGCAAAATGGACTATTAGATATCTAATCAACCTCCATTTGAAATGAGCCGCAGAAACTCCTATCAGTTGTTATTTAGCCCTAACTGAGTTTCCCATTTTAACCATTTTCTAGCAGTAGCACATAAACATCAGGATGACACTAGATTAGAAAAAAAAAAAAAAAAGCCCAAATCTGAATACCCCCCAGATAGATTTAGTTGTAGAAGGTTTGTCCAAATTGCTTTTGTTCTCTTCTGAGAAAAACAGTGCTGGCATCCATCAACTTGAACATGACTGTTTGGCAAAATGTTAGTGTTTAGGTATGTGTTCTATGACCGAAGTAAGTGGTTGGACCAAACATACTGATCTGACTACCCATCCCTAAATGTCTAGGAGTTTACCAAAGCCAACCAGGAGCGTACTTGTACACACACATCATGGGATTGGATACATGCATTGTGCATGTGTTTTGGGAGAGTTCCTATTCATTTCTAATGGGCCTCTGATGTTCATCCACACAGTAAATAATGCACCTGACCTTCACACATATGCTGTGTTGCCACGCATTGGGAAAAAAAGGTCCTTTTTTGGTGCGCAAATGCGTGTTGAGTACCCATAATAATTGGGCACAGATACCACAACACTCATCAACACATAAAGCCAATGTATATGTGTAAATAGGCCCTACGTTTAAGCAGATTTCAGCTGGCTCACTCATTTGTTGTCTTGCTACAATCTTAGAGATCCTAACAAAAAAAACCTCTTTTCTGCCACAGGTGTGACAAAATGTTTAAGAATGTTAATTAGCCAATGGGAAATTGAGCGAAACCAATTAGTTCCAGCTAAAAACTATAGTATGTTTTTGGTAATTTTATTTATTTATCATTTTATTTTCATTCTCTTATTCCTAGAATATTTTTTTTTACTCATAACCATTCAATATGGGATATGGTGTGTCGTGCATGCCAGCCTGTCTAATAAAATCTTGTTGACTGCTCCTGTAAGATCTAGAAGGCATCATCTTTTTTTGAAGAGGAAGTGCTGTCCCTCCGTCAGCCATTCAGCTGACTCATTCAGATTTACAGTATGTCTGCATACTATGAGAGACTAGATAGCAAGCAATTGAGCTGGAAGTTTGAAAATGACTTGCTAAACTATTGCTAGACTTGCCAAGCTTCACAATTTTGTTGTACAATTACAGCAAGTCTGCATTGCAAGTCTCCAGATCAACATGCTTTCCAAAAGTGCTGCACACTTGCAGAGCTCTTGCTAAGACCTGCAGGACTCTTGCTGTAGACATGCCAAGCAAATTTGCATATTCAAAAAGTGTCAACTAGAACTTGTGCTGCAAGTGTTCTGCAAGTCTACAACTTGCCAGGGAATGTGTGCAGCAAGTTAACAGAAAAGGATGATAAGCTGCAATAACGCTTTCTAAATCCTTTCAATGTATATAGTTCACTTACAAGGGATTCTTTTTTACTCATCAAAAGTGGAATTTTAATCCAATTTTAAAAATTGTAAATAAAAGTTTTCCTGTTTGCAAGCAATGTAATGACACATACAGTAATATCATATACTTAAATGTTAGAGAAATATATATTACTCTACAGACCTGGGCATTGCAAACAGCAGTCTGACATGATAGGCTCAGTGCATGCTACTGGAGGACACACAGGAGGGATACAGGTGATATTTCCAGCCTACAGCAGCAATTAGAATAATTCAATCAAAGTCATACAAGCAAATGTACATGCACAAAATAAAAGTCATTATAAACATTTAACATGTGAAATAGCTGTATAAAGTTAACCTATATGTAAACCCTAACAATGAACGTCTCCTATTTTCATTCTTTTGATCTATGAAATATACTTTTAAATGAGTTTTCACATATCTGTTTAATACATTAAAAAATACCTTAGGATCCTGCCAGAAATCAAGTGATTACCTGAGCACTTTGCAGTCTTATACTCAAATGTTATTAGGTAGAGTGTTAGGACTATAGCACACCTCTGCTGTGTTATGCAGATGAGGGGAGAAATATATATATATATAAATATAAATGTAGAAGAAGAAAAAAACCTGCCTGGTGGCTGTCCTGCCCCTCTATTCCCTGCTGCCCCAAGGCCCTGCCTCGGTGGCCTTGTGGGAAATCCGGCCCTGTATATCTTGTAAGTCACTGTCATATATCTTCTAAGTCACTGTTACTCTCTAAGACAAAGGGGTTGATTTACTAACCTTTTAAACACACCACGAACGTGTATACACCTCTGTAGTGTGTTCCCTCCCAGCATGATCTATGGGAGGAATCGAAACACCTTTGTAGTGTGTACACACTTAGCAGGTGTGTTGTGCAAAGCCATGCAATGAATTGCAAGGTAATGTGGTGTAAATTAGCTCTATGTTATGTTGCTTGCGTTGATGAATGCAGGAATGTAAATGCATGAGCTAACCATTTTTGTCTAAACTGTGAAGCAGCATTATATATGCATCATGTGCATGATTTTTCCATATATGGCATTAGTGGAAATATGCTTTTAGAGACTTTTTGGTTGATAAATACGTTTTGCTGTGTGAAAATCACACACACCTGGTGCGTGCGTGTGTTTAGGTTAGTAAATCACCCCCAAAGACTCTAAGACAAAGACTGATTAAGACAAAGATTCAATTAGGCGCAATAGCTACAAACCGAGGAAACATAGTACACATTTTCTTTCATTTACCAATATAAAAGACATTAATGAACATTTAGTTCTTGGGAAGAATATGCAGGTCTTCTTTAATCAGATATGGGAAAGCTACTTTATATCAAATTGCTAATTTGCTTAAAGCGTATCTAAACCTAAAAGCAAAAAGTCTAAGTGGCTCCATTGCTCTTCCATAGAGTGGAGTCACCTATGTGGCAGGAAGTGTGTTACTAGCCGTTATTACCAGGAAAAACAGAAAAAAAGCCTAAAAATTCGAAAACGAATGCACCCACCAAATTTAAGGATTGGTAAACTGCAATTAATTACATTTTTGTTTTTGGGTTTAGATACACTTCAACGGACCACTAATATTAAATATATACTCACAAAAAAATTATATATTTAGACATAAAAGTAAAGTAAACTATATTAAATTAGGTAATGTCCATCTCATATGTATGGCCGCCAGCTTTAGTTTTATGACTGACATACAACACCAGTGATAGGGATTTGTAGATAAACTGCATTACACAGCATAAGCCTAAATTAAAATACATAAACTGGCTTTTCCATTCATGACTCTTACCAGACAGATACAAACAGTACAATTATCTGGAGTAATGGGGAAAAGCTCTCCGTCTGCTCTCAGTTTTCCCTCGAACAAGCACCCTGCAAGAAACCACAAGCAATCTATGTGTGACAGCAGAGGGACGTTTAAGTGCTATTTGGGGGACATGCAACATACTCACCATCACAAGATGGGCAGCAGCTATCAGTGGGCAAGGCAGGATGCGAGCAGTTTGGATTACATACCCTTCTGTCACATGAAACCTTCCCTTCCTGAAATGTACACAGTTAATCTAAGTAAGTTATTCCTGTTTAACCTGTAGTTTTTTTCACTCAGCATACACTTTCACTATGGAATTATTGGTCAGTGGAACTTTCAACCGATAGTGAACAAAAGCATTAGAATATCTATGCCAATCAGAAAAGAAAAAGATGAATCAGTCAGTAATTTCTCATTTGATTATTTTTTCCAGCATTAATTTTAAGATTCGGTGGTACATTGACTAGCACTAAAGCTTTCCCATACTAGTGTCCTGTATTTATTTTCCAACATAACTCTGCAAGGATTTTGGATACTTTCCCAGCATTTATATAGGTTTCATCTAGGTACTCTGTTTTCCTCCCAAGGACCAGAAACGTGTTGGTAGATAAAATATCTTTTCATTAAAACTGACCTGTGTCATGGTTGTAAGATATTAGATTTTAAGCACCAATGGGCAAGGAATTAATGCAATTGTTGAAATATAGTCTACAAAGATTAGAATTATGTTTGTGCTATATAAATAAGGAAAATAAGGAAATAAAAAGCCAGTACCTAATACAATGATATTGAAGCTAAGGTGTCGCCATTAAGAGCTACCATTCTTGGCCCAAAGCCAGACCTTCAAACCTTCGCTAGAAAATGACATGTGAAGTCTGAATGTTCCTCCCTTTTAGATTGTAAGCCCTCACGGGCAGGGCCCTCCTTACCATCTAGTCTTAAATTGTATTGTGATTGCCTTATATTGTAAAGTGCTGCGCAAACTGTTGGCGCTATATAAATCATGTATAATAATAATAATAATGTTGACTTTGGAGCAATACTGACAAGTATATACGTCAGTGTATTGTGTGTACCAAGATAATTACTACCATAAGACAATCTCTTGTTGCCCTCATCAAGCACTTTTATCATTGCAATCCATTAGCCATTTGGAGGGCATGTCTGTATTCTACAGCTAACTGCAATTGTTAAAAAATTAATCATCAGCGATTTGTGGTTCATTAAAACTTTTTTTTGCAAACAGTTAGTCCAACAAATATTTAAGTTTTTGTTTGATGCTGGAGAATGAAACCACCTGGCAGTTGCTTTCATCATTCAGGGGCTTTATTAGTCAGATCTCTGCACTTGAGTTCCTTGGTGTGCAAACCAGCTGTGGATTATAAAGTGTTCCTGGTCTCCTTGTTGGCTTATTTATTTAATATAATAGATGGTGCATTCAGAAATGCTGGAACACGCAAGGGTGGGCAGGTCCACAGGAGATATGGCTTATTAATGGATTCAACAGTATTTTTAAGAAGCCAGGGGCTGACTCAGCCCCACCAAGCTTCAGCTATAGCTAAAACTTCCTTTAGTTGGACTGATCCTTCAAGAATAAGCACCAGTGGAGTCACAAAGGGGGTGCGGCCCGCACCAGGGTGACACCATTGGAGGGGTGACACCAAAATGACTGACAGTCATTTTGGTGTCACCCCCTCTGAAAAGTCGGCACTTGGTTGTGGACAGCGGCGGCATACCTTACTCCGCTGAGTGAATGTCACCTCCTCTCTCAGCCGGCGTCCATCACTAAGTGGGCCACCAGCAGGTATCACTAAGATGGCCGCGCATGTGCAATGATGTCACGGCGGGGTGTCACACAGTCCCCCCTCCGGGTGACACCAAGGCCTCAGGACACCCCTGATAGGCACACTTAAACTTCCAAGACAATAAAAGAATATGTATTCTTTTTATTACAATAGAACATAGTACTTTTGAACAATGACACTTACCTGGCAAATGCAATCTAAACATCCTGGCTCTGTCCAGGTGCTGCCTGCCAGATGCAGTTCCCTGTTATGCCAACAAGGCACATTTGTGCCCAAGGCAGTAGGCTGTCCAGTGGGGATTATTATGTTCTCTTTCAGTGGCATGTGAGCTATTCCTGAGGAATTTTGAGAGAATGAAGAATGACCCGTTTTGAGATGTTGAGGTGGAGGCACTGGATCAAGTTCAGTTGTTGTGGTTGGTTGAGGTTGAGTTGAGGTAGACTTTGTGGTAAACATTTTTTGTGGTAACTTGGTAGTGGCCAGATCTGTCTGGGAAGCACTTGTGGTTGGTGTTCCAATGCTTACAGCCATTGGTGGTGTTAGCCTGAGTGGCATCCAATCACTGTGCACTGCCTGTAGTAAGCTTGCGGTCTGTGTCTCAAGAGGAGTGGCTGTAAAATGCAGAAAGACCAGGTAATATTATATTTTACGTCACTTGTAACAAGTCTGGGTGTAGCTCCTATCTAGTGTAGTGATTAATTGCCAGCTTCGTCAGCTAAATAAACATTGTTTATTAACTGCAAATATATTTTATTACGTTGAAATAAAAGATTAATGACTGCCCACTTCCTACTTTCCACATGAAATGAGAATGATTCCTTAACATTGTGTACCAAGGCCCAAATTAAGAAGAAAATGGATGGAGACTGGCTTGTTAACAACACATGAGAACAAGTTAATCTCCCATTGTTCTGAATGGAAGATCTTCCTGCCCATGGGCGCCAGAACAGAAAATGCTTTCAAATGTTTTACCTGAGCAGCCACCATTGATTGACTGAAACCCAGCAGGGCAGGAACAGACATAGGACCCCAGTGTATTCATGCAGCTGCCAGATATGCATAGGGTGGTGTTATCTAGGCACTCATTCACATCTAGAATACAAACAAAAGCACATATGGCACAATTTTTAGTGATGACAACTGTCCTCTGATAGTTCCTCTTTCAGGTTCTTATTGTGGTATGTGTCCCTACTGAGGATGTTCACCCTTTATATATATTTTGTTGACCATTTTCACCAGGGCTGAAAGTGAGAGAATCTAAAAAATTGTCTCACTGGAAGAGGAATAGAGGGAACGTTTTACAATTGGGATTTTCCTGTTGTGTCTCGAGACAGGAATTAAAAAAAAAAAAATTATAATCTGATCCAATGGGACAAAGACAGCAAAAAAAAGGGGGTTGATGGGTTACTCTGTGATAACCCCGGGGTCTTTTTACTTCTCTTCTGCTGAATCGGTACACTCTCAAGCATTAGACATGAAAATCAACCCAAACACAAAGGTGTGCGGTATCAGCCCAGTATGAAAAGTTTATTTTACGTCTTAGTGATTTATATCAGGTAAACATGGGGCGGTGGTCCAGCATTAACCAATCACAGATAAACACTGACGCATACGAAATCGAAACTTTAGCTAGATAACGATGCACATTCATATTCTGTGAAATCATGTGTTTTCCAGTAACTCAAAACTCTCAAGGTTGTTACAGCTTTAACAAGTACTCTAACTTGAGACAAAGAAACTACTGCCAATATTAAAATTCACCTTATCCCTTCAACCCTCCCTTTTATTCTGAAAGAATAACATTTCCTGCTTTATTGGGTGAATTCGTGGCTTCAACTATGTTTCTGCTAAGTAATGCAGTTCTTACTGCGCATGCATTAGGCCTTTTCTTTAAGAAGACCTTCAAGGACAATCAGCTAATTTTCTAATGAAACTAGAATGCAAAACTACTCAACTAACTGAAAAGCTCACACAAGGTTGTTCTTGTTGGAAGAAGAGACAAAAAGGCAAGATGAATACAAAATAATTAATATATACAGTATGTTCTTGCACAACTCCCCCTTTGTTCCTTTTTTATGTAATATTCAAAACAACATCAATAAAGAAAGGTGAATAAATGAATATTATACTAGGTATAGCAATAACTACCTCATACTTAGAATGCTGTGAGACATCCCTCGGTATCAAATTATCAAATCAACAATACATTGCACATAGTGTAAATGATACCACAGTGGCCTGTAGAAAGTCTATCCAAAACAAGGGGGAATTATTAAATCTGTTGAACACAGCTCTTTGGAAAAGCTTAGTAAAACCAAAAGGTCTTGGAAGATCAGTTGGAACAAGTGGAGACTATATACACCACTACAGCTTATAACTGTAAATACTTACCAACACAAGACACTCTGTCTATGCTAAGAACAAACCCAGCTCGGCATGAACAGAAGAAGCTTCCATACGTATTATGACAAAAGTGCTGGCAAAGATGAGATGACCCTGGCCTTCGACACTCATTGATATCTGTTCAATAAGCAATGACATTGAATAGTTGAACTTCTAAAACAGTATCCATTAACCAGTTGACATCCGCGGTGTTAAACCCCCTTCCCATCCAGGCCATTTTTCAGTATTCAGCGCTGCGGTACTTTAACTGACATTTATTCCGTCATGCAGCTAGCAGCTGCATTATGATTCTAATAATTATTATTATTTGTATTATTATTATATATGATTGTTATGAAATATAGTTTTGTTTTTATTTTGTTGTAATCATACTAATATTTATCTATGTTGAGAGCTGAAATTCAGGATAAGAAAATATTATCTACATACAATAAGCCATGCATCTTTTTATTTAAATGTGTCCAAAGTGTATTTCTTAAAAATGTGTGCAGTAATCCAGTATAAAACATCTGCACCTCCAATACAGACTGGTCACTGCTGTGCAGGGTGACTGGTCTTGTATCTGCCCTCCCATAGTATTCTAACCTCTGGGTTTGCAAAGGCATTCGGTGTACACAATGTGGATTTATATATTGTGGTTATTGAGAAATATATTTGAAGGAATTTTTTTGTGCCCAGAGTTCAGCTTTAAATAAAAAAAATTCATCTTTTCAAAAGTGAATAAAATACTACCAATGACAAAGATAACTCATTTATTAAATTATTTAAAATGAAACTTCAGGTGAGTAGAGTGAGCTATTAAAAATGAATGCAAATGAATAATAATTGCTGCTTACCTGCACATTTGTGTCCATTATTCTGCAGGGTGAACCCTGTTCCACACAAACACCTATAGCTGCCATGAATATTCCTACATCTGTGCTGACAAACTGATCGTTGTGTCAGACATTCATCAATATCTGAAGGTTAGAAAAATGCTACAGACTGAATAGTAATCATTTTAAGTAAATTATATTTAATTATAATATTTAAAAAACCTTTACACACAACGTTAGTTATAAAAGCAAAACTCAGTAGAAATCTAAACTGGCTATATATGAAACTTTTGGTTTGAGATTTACAGTATTTGAGCATTTACAGAGGTTCAGTGCAAGTCTCATAACCAAATTCAAGGGAATGTTTGGATCATGTCAGAAATGTGCTTCCTCTGGTGGATCATTTCTGCCAGAAAGAGCAATAAAAAATTATAATTATAACAAGGAGAGACAAAGGAACCAAAAAGACTTCCACTAAACCAGTGCATAGCACAGTAGTACCTTCCTGGAACAGAGGGTATTCACATGCCTCAATCCATCACATATCTGAAAAATAAGGGGATTATTCCTCATTGCTGAATGGTGGACAGAGCCAGGCAAATTAGTCCTTTATGCCTTATGACTAACTATACATTCAGGACCAAAAGACCCTCTAATGAACCAGTGCATAGCACAGCAGTACCTCCTTAAGGGATTAAAGCGGACCTTTACCCTTATCTTTGAAATAACAACAAAGGCACCTTTAGAAATGTTTAGTAATGACAATCTACAAACAGATACTTCTGGATAATTGCCGGCTTTGTGTTCTTTGCACACCTTATTTCTCTTTTCCTCCCCAGTCTTCTAACAGTGGCCATTTTTACTAAGGGCAGATTAATATATCTTCCTTTACTCCCTGGAACTCTAGCACATGTGGCTAGGACATGTGACCATGCACATCCTCTCAGGGGAGGAAAATGCCTTTCCCTGAGATTGCATGAGATTTTTTGTGCCAAAGAGGACCAGGAAGTTTAAAAAAAACTATAATTGTAAGTAAAATAAAACTATGTTTGTTTAACTAATGAATGTAAGATTTCATATCAGTGTGCAGAGCTGCATGCTGATGTGATTTTTAGTGAAAGGTAGTAAAGCTCCATTTTAATGTCTAATTCTATCACTTATTCTATTCCCTGTTCTATTCCCTCATTTAAATTAATGTTATTAATGTCATGTGGCGGTTTTGTATTATTCATAGCAGAGACCATTAACCCTTGAAACTTAAATAGTGGGGACTGCATGATAACAATCTCATCGTATATCTCCAAAAATGAAAATTTCATATAGTTATAACTCACCCAAGCAACTGCTCCTATCAGCGGCAAGCTTCAGGCCAGGCCCACAATCACATACAAAGCCTCCTTCAGTATTCAGACAAGTTCCCTCACAGGAAGATGCAGCACATTCATTGATGTCTGGTACAATGTAGGCATGGTGAAAAGGCTGTTCATAACGATGTACAGTGTATTAAGGCTTGTCTGATAGTAGAAGATAGGGTATTGGAATACCTGTGCAGGTGACTCCGTTTGCTGTTTCAGTCATGCGAAATCCAAGAGGACACACGCGGGAGACATGTTCACAGCCTCCATCATTACAGGTTAACTCACAGCCATATTCTCCACAAGGACCAGGAGCTGTAATTACACATGTTGGGGAAAGCACTGATCATAAATAATATCAGCAAATGTTTCAAATCCACTCTGTAAGTGATACTCATCCACAACTTTCCTTTTAAGGGCCTCAGAGAACTCTATGAATCTTGGCATGATGACACCACATGTGTCAATAGCAATGAGAACACCAGACCCTTGATGTTGTCTGAGGTTTACATAAGACAGGTTTCACCTGCATACTCTTTAAATAGGTTCTAATCATTGGCACCTAATTTGGAACACACAATTCTAATTTTCTGGATTTGAAGCGGTGGTAAATGGTGGTAACTTACTTTATCCATTTGACAAATCTGCATTTTTGTTTATTTAGATCATGAAATTGAATACATCATGCAAATTGTATTTGTCATTTGCTCAAGTACTGTATATCATCTTTATCTGTAGACACTATTTAAATCAAAATCAATGTTTGCTTGTTCAAATATGTTGAAAACGTCAACAATTTCAATGGGGTGTGTTTACTTTTTCACATATCTATATATTCAGAAGACTGGTAAACATTGCAGGCATGCTACAGGAGTCATAGGAGACTGGTAACATTCTGCAGAGATGTACAGAGCAATTTTGACATATATATGTACAGAGCAATGTTGAAGTTTTTTTTTTCTCTTCTTTGTGTAAAGACCCTCTTTTTGAACCCATATGATTTATATTTGTGGGTCTAACTCAAGGAATATACATAATAAAGGTATTTTAAGGTTACGTAAAGGCACAAGCCATTACCCAATATTACTACATAAAGGGCATTCAGTCAAGGGTTTAGATCTACTTTAAACACACAAGTGTCTTTTTACAAGCTCTACACTAATCTGTCCCTGTGCACGTTATGACCAGCACTCCCTATGCTTTCCCTATCCCAGCTAAGCACATTCTCAATATGGCTGCTGGGAAGCCTGCCTTTTTATAGGCAGGGGCTGGCACATAAGAAAAGCCCTATTATTGGCCATTCTAAGCCACCTGACCTAAGTTCAGAGGCCAGGAATTGCACTATTGCTAGTTGGTGGCTATGGTGGCGAAATGAAGGCTGTAAACCCGCAAACAGGTGTTTGGCCCAAAAATGAAGCTCATCACTAGAAACTAAGGGCTATATTTATAAACAATTTGCACAGCCATTCATCCTGCAAAACTCTGTGAACATTCATTTTGTGCTAATGGAGGCAAAAAGGAACGTTCTTGGTTTATTTTCTTTTCAAGCTAATGTAATAGGAGAAGAAAAACATAATATGCCCACTAGATGGAGCTGAGGCGCATAGAAAAATACTTCTTTCCTATACTCCTCAGCTCCTTCTAGTGGCCCTAATGCGGTATTTTCCTAATATTACAACGTACATTCTCGTATACTGGGAATATTCATTTTTGTCTCCACAGAGTTTTGTAAGACGAATGGCTCTGCAAATTGTTAAAAAATACACCTCTAAGTGCCATTAAACCCAAACTGATATTTAAACTAACATCTGTATGTCTTAGGACTTCAGCAGAAAACTCAAAATTCTTTACATGTGTTTGCAATAATTATTTGGGGAAGGTTTGGAACTTACCAGCAATTGTATTTGGGTGCTTCATAGGTAGACATGTGCGTCCATTGGCTGAGATCTGATACCCATAATAACACATGCATCTGTAGCTGCCAATGTTGTTCTTACATTGCTGATGACAAGGGTTTAGTGTCTGAGGCCGAGAGCATTCATCAATATCTGGCAAATAAATAAGGCACGCCAACATTAATCGTAATGTTTTCTAACCTAAGAAGATGTGCAATTTGCCTGTTTATTAACTCATATTTATTGTATTCATTGTGAACAGCAGATATCACTATATACAGCAAAGCTACTCCACACTGCGGCCTGCATTTTACAGACCGTGCATAAGATGTAAACCGTGGTATGGATCCAATGGTGTGTCTTGGAGTTCTTTCTGTAGTCTGGTCACATGACTTTAACAGGTCACTTGAGCAGGCTTTCCTTTTGCCTTTTTTGTGTTCATTTTAATTGTGCAATATACATCTTTAAAACATGCTGTTGTGCTTTTTAAAAGTGTAAAGTTTAAAAAAAAAAACAGCAGTATGGCCAGAGTAAAACCATACTGCTGCTTTATAAATGGGTCCCCAGTCTCATGTGTGCATCTTTCTTTCCTACATCTCTCTTCTATTCTGCATCTTAAAAAAAAACTTACAGTGCAGAGAATAGCATAGGACAAGTACAGAAACCATGTGCGTCCACAATATGGCACTCCTTGGGCATTCTGTCTAATGCAGGGGTGGGCAAATTAATATGGCGTTCGGGATCCACTCTGTCTAATCCAGCAGCCAGCAAGATTTTTTTTTGAAGCGAGCTCCATTGATTTTGAGAAAATCTCGAAAGTTAGGCACCAGCTGTAATTTTTAAGGAGCATTGGAGACCTGGCTCCTGGGATTTGTCCAGCCCTGGTCTAATGAAAATTCAAAGAACCATGTAATGAGAGGGATACCTAAGTTGTCATAACTGGCCTCCTTTTAAAAATCACGGAATTATCCTCTCCCTTCAATACTTTGAGTCACTAACCCAAATTAGGATTTCTGACTTCACTTAATAACTTGAAAGTGATGACTTGAAAGGATTGGCATGGCAGCCAAGCAAAAGCTGTTTTTTTTCAAAACCAGGCCAACAGTGGTAGCCCACACCCTTCTTTCCTGACAGGTTTCCTATAAATGCCCTTGAATTAGCCAACTGGCTTTTTTCATTAGGGATTCCCGACATTCCTGCTGTAGTTTCAAAAGTGATCACAGAGGATATGATCCATAAAAATAATGGACATTTAGTAGCTCGGCACATGATAATATTATTGTTATTCCTTTTTTATCACCACGATCAGTAGTGCTTTGTAGCTTGCACTTAGATTTGACTGGCGCAGATCATATTGATTATTAATTATTCCTGCTGTAGTGCCCAATTCTTCTGCCCTTCGGGCATTCTCTAGTACATTAAATACAAAAATGAGAACCTGTCATAATGGCCAGTTAGGCAGAGTTAGGAACTCGGCCACAAGAGTTCGGCACTGGAGTTCCTGAGTAGACAAAGAAGTCGGTGTTTAACTCGCCAGTATCTAAACAGCTTCTCCATATGACAATTCCATCTAAATCATATATATCCTTCAGGCTGGGGTGGGCAAGACTCCAGCAGTAGTATACAGGAATGAGGTGCGTAGATGCTGTTCAGGACCCTGGCAGAGATAGATCATTCTAATCCCAATAGTCTTGACATGCTAATAATAGGTTAATCAGGTTTTTACCTGACTTACCTTTAGACCGGCCTTTCTCAAGGGGCACCTTTCCTTGGTACAGACAGGCTTCTGATGTCAAGGGGGCTCCTGATGTGAAGGGGAACTCTGATGTTAAGGTATGGGGGGCTCTCTGATATGAAGGCAGATTATATTCTTAAGAGTGCTCCTAATGTGAAGGAGGAAGGCTGCTGATGTGAAGAGGGCTCTTGATGTGAAGGGGTGCTTCTGATATTAAGAGGGGCTTGTGATATTAAGTAGGGGGCTCTGATTAGAAAGGAGGTTTGGTATAGATTCTGGAAGGGCCATTTACATTTTAGATTGGGGTACCTCGAGAGTTTGTATACCTTTAAAGGGTGCTGTGATTGAAAAAAGGTTGAGAAATGCTGTTTTAGACTACCACTTGAAGTGAACATTTCACTGCTTCATATTAGTAGATTTCAAGGATAACCAGCTTCATGTTACTCTTGCCAAAAACAGAAAAGGCCAGTCAACTGTTCCAATAGCTCTAACATGAAATGGAACAGTGTGTTTAATGAAGTGTCATTTGCACAACACTGTGATTAGTCAACCTTTTAAAAATGTATATGGGCATATTAGGAAAGATCTTGGAAGGATCCCCAATATGTGTGTGACTTGCGTTGTTGCTCTTCCCTGGTGTTCCCATATGCTCTCCATTTCTCAAAATGTACCTATATTGTTTTTAAGCTGAATTCCAGGGAACAAGCTAAATACACAGATGAAATACGTAAAAGGGAGCAGTTTAACCCGCCTAAGGATTTGTTTTTGTGATCGTAGAGTTCTGAGACATCCATGTATGTATAATAACACATTAATGGAATCCACCAACTTACCGTAACAACTTTTTCCATCCTTTCCAAGCATGTAACCATGGAAACAGGTACACATAGCAACACCATTGATCACTTTGCAGCCTTGATCACACAATGCTGATAGGCAACTGGTTGAAAACCCTGCAATACATCATGTAAAGAGTAAAGAGTAAAGAGTACCCATATAACTGATTCCTATTCAAAGCCATGTCAAACAATATTAGGCAGGCCCAGGTGAGGAGAATAGACAAACCTTTGGTTCAAGAGCGAGTCTACATAGCCTATGAATAAAATACACGTATTCAGATACCAATGGCATTCCCAGGCAACAGAAAGGCTCAAAAAGTTTGATAGAAGAAGAAACATAAAGTTAGATAGCAAAAAAAAAAGCACTCACCTTAGTGCCCCCCTTCTACAAACTATCTACTGTAGTCACCATAGTGCCCCCTTCTACAAACTATCAACTGTACTCTCCTTAGTGCCCCCTCCAACAAACTATCTACTGTACTCACCTTAGTGCCCCCTCCTACAAATTATCTACTGTACTCACTTTAGTGCCCCCTTCTACAAACTATCTACTATACCCACCTTAGTGCCCCCTTCTACAAATGATCTACTGTACTCACTTTAGTGCCCTTTCCTACAAATTATATACTATACTCACCTTGGTGCCCCCTTCTACAAATTATCTACTGTACTCACCTTAGTGCCCCCTTCTACAAATTATCTACTATACTCACCTTAGTGCCCCCTCCTACAAATTATCTACTGTACTCATTTTAGTGCTCTCTCCTACAAATTATCTACTGTACTCACCTTAGTGTCCCCCTTCTACAAACTATTTACTGTACTCACCTTAGTGCCCCCTCCTACAAATTATCTACTGTACTCACCTTAGTGCCCCTCCTACAAATTATCTACTGTACTCACATTAGTGCCCCCTTCTACAAATTATCTACTATACTCACCTTGGTGTCCCTTCTACAAATTATCTACTGTACTTTGAAGCCCACTGATACACAGACCCCTGTTTGCTGACAACGGTGGTGAGGGTAAACGCAGCAGCCAGCGGGGTTAGAAGGTACGGTAAGGCGGCCATTGTGGTCAAAGGTAAAGTAGGTAGGAACCCATCTTAGGTATGTCACCCCTTTATTATTATGTATGTTCGAGTGTTAGTGAAATAGTGGTTTTGTGGTTGTACCTGCAGTTAATGGTACAATTGTCATTGTTCTGCAGCTGAAGGCCTATCCTATTGGTTTTGCAGATGTGGTATTTCCATAAAGTGCCTTCAAAAGGACCTTGGGCCCCATTCAAAATGTTATAATATTTCTATTATTTCTACATTTTGTTAATAAACAAAAAGTCTGCTATGGCCATTAAAACTCAAAATGGTGGAGTGGTGGTCTGGCAGTTTCTGGAGACAAGATTTCTTTAATACCCTAGTCATGGCTGTGTCCCCCGCTGGGTGCTGTGGTTCCATCCTGCAGCCTCTACAACACTACTGTGTCCCTGCAGAAAGGTAGTGATATAGCGGGCAGCAGGTGGAACCACAATGCATAGCGGGGGAACACAAGCATCACCTAGAAGTGTGTCAGATGCTGAAGATCCTACAGATGGTTTAGCTCTCCAAAAGAGCAAAAATCCAGTCCCCACCCTCTAGAATTAAACATTTTCTTTTTTAGGGTGCTTTTTCAAGCAGCAAAGGTGCCACTTTAAAAATTATGTTATAGTCCAGTTATGGATCCTACTAGTTGTACATTACTGTTATAACTTCAGTCATGTTAGATTGTTCAAAAGTGAATAACAGGTGCATTTAATTTGTATTAAATTTGTTATATGAGCCAAATCTAGTTATTGTGTTAATCCGGGAATCTACATTCCAGGAAAATTAAGTTTACGAGTTAAACGATTCCGGTGGTAAATGTCTGGTGGAGCAAGTGTTTTACTGTAGGGTGACCTCATTATGGCATGTAGGGTTGGAAACAACTGGAACATATGTATTTTATTTATTTATAAATTTATACAGCGCCAACACATTCCGCTGTGTTTTACAGATGAACATAGAGCATTTCTATTAGTCACTGTACCAAAGGAGCTTGCAATCTAATAGTCATACTATAATTCTACAGACACACATACAAAAGGCCAGTTTAGGTAGAAGACTATTAAAGCAGAGCTTCTTCTAATTTTATTTTTGAGTTTTTGGAAAAATTGTTGAATGGTTAGATCTGGTGTCAGGTTTTATTGAGGTCTGCATCCCCCTGGAGTGATTTCCTTCACTTCCTTTTGTTGTGACAAATGTCAAAGAAAATTGCCATATATGAGGGGATATGACACCATAGTAGTCACCAGAATATATATTCCCTGTGGAAGTGTTCCCTTAGCCTCCTGTTATTTTTGGTTTTCTCCTCGCTTTTGGTCCCAGTGACCATTGCACTGATGCAACGTATGAGGAAAAATGTTTCCAGTGTGAATAAAGACAGCAACAATCAAACTGAATTTACTACATTCCCAATTTTGAGCACAAAAAATGTGCTGTGATTTGCCCTAAAATGTACAGTAATGCTTTCATCAAAATTACATTTATTTTTTTTACCTTCACTTTTAGTGACGTTGTCTTTAACTTTTCCCTCCACCCGTCCCCCTCAATCACCTACCTAAATACTTGCCTTCAGCCCTGCTCCCTTAGTCCTCATTCACACTAGTGTGATTTGTTACTCGTTGTCACATGACAATGCACGGCAAGAGGGATCCCATTATTTGCTATGGGACCCATTCATGCTAATGTGTTGTGCTGAAGTATGACTCTTTTGGTGCTACATAGTGTGTTTTTGACCCCATGCCTTTTACATGCATTTTAGCTTTCGTGTGGTTTTGCACACAAAATCCCAGCAACATCTACTCTAACCAGGCTGCATAGAAAGATGGTGCAAGCAGGCAACACCATGCTGGATGTGGAAGAACTGATATGGCAAGTGGGGGCAAAGATATTTCTGTAGGATCCCAGCGTATACAATTACAAGGATAGCTGCAAGTGCCAGAGGTCCTGGGAGGACATTATGGTGATTGTAACAGTTCTATCAAAAAGTACAGCTGTGGCTGCTGCCAAAAAACATGTCATAACAGATATGATGTGATATGAAAGCACAACACAACACAGAGCAAGCAGGAAGCAGATATAACGAAGACAACAATGTATCAAAACACACCCTAAAACTAAAGTTATAATTTAAAGCCTTGGTTCTCAACTAGTGGGTCGTGACCCAAAAGTGGGTCGCGACCCCTTGTTCAGTGGGTCGCCGCGTGCCTTCCACTTTTGCAGGTAAGGGGCTCCTCTGCCTCCCCCTAGCGCAGCACTGGCAGTTCTCACGTCGAGCAGCTATTCAAAATATGCTGCTCGGTGCCGAGTGTCAGCTTAAGGTGGGATAGGATGAAGCTATGGCCGTGAGGGAGCTTAATCCATACGTGCATTGCTTACAGCTCCCTCACGTATCCTGTAGAGGTGCCTGGACCAGAGTGACGTCACAAGCAAGGGTGCGCGTACAAGCAATGCACATATGGATGGAGCTGCAGCACAGCAGCCCACACTAGACCTCAGGCTGAGGATCCACTCCATTTTCCGTAAGGTAGGGAGAATGAGTGGACCTTACAAAAAGGTTTTTTAAAAAGTTTAAAAAAATTAGGAGTGTGTATGTGTGTGTGTGAGAATGTCTGTGAGTGTGTGAGATTGTGTCTGTGGTTGTGTGTGTGTGTCTCTCAGTGGTTTGAGGGCCCGTTCACACTAGTGCAGTGCGTTAATCACCCAGTCCCATGTGATTAACGCAGTGCAAGAAGTTGCACCTATCGTGCATTCTGGTGTGGGAGGTGTGTTGCGTTGCCATTCATTTGAATGGTACCACAAACTCACCTCCAATGCACAGTACGTACGTCCACACCGGAACAGGCAGTACCCTAATATCGTGCGTTCCATTGCTGTGCGACTTGGGTCACAACTTAATGACCAAGGACAAATGTGCGTCCTGAGGTTACACAGGTTGAGAACCACTGATTTAAAGTATGTCTGCACTCTCATAGAAAGTGCACTTATTCTTTCTGCCTTCCTCCGCTGACATCGCAGAGCCCACCTTCCCTCCACAGACATATACTTACTGAAATTCGGTCACCTGGGGATTCCTTGATTGTTTACATCCAGCGCCAAACTCCTCTCACCGATGTCCTCGCCTGTGCAGTAGAACCCAGTAGGTCCTGCTGAATAAAAGGCAGCACCAGATGCCTGATATTGCCTTTATTAATGCAGAACTACAATCTCTTATCTTTTACAGCCATCCTAGGTTCTATTTGGACTGCAGTTGCCATGGTGCTACACATTTACTCAGCTATGACACCAACCATTTGAGGGCTTGAAAGTTTGGTTGAGAGCTGATATAATGCAACACACTAGCAACCTTTACAGTTGGCATGCCTTAAATGTAACTGTTTTGGGGGACATTAAAGAAGAACTCTGGACAAATTTAAAAAAAAACACACAAGTGCTTGTTTTGCCTATTGTGCTAAAATAACAGAGATATACTTACCAAACCACAATTCCATCTGGCTCCTAGACCAGTCCCTTCACTCTGTCTCCTCCTCCACTCCGAAAAAATGTCCTTCGGCGTCCTCATGTCCTATACACAGTATAGGACGTGATGAGTCACAGGACCTCAGCCCCCAGATAGGAGGGGGAGAGAGGCTGCCTGAACTGGCCTAGGAGCCAGCCAGGATTGTGGTTCAGGTGATTATATCTCTGTTATTTTAGCTCCCTGGACAAAACAAACACTTAACCCTTGCAGTGCGGGGGGTAGCCCCACGGCAAGGGTTAAAATTGTATTTGCCTGGAGTTCTTCTTTAAACTTTTTTAATAATGAATCCTGATCCATCAAATATACGTTGCCCAGCAAAATATTTATTTACATCTTTTTTGCCCAAATACTTACAGTCATCAGGTTTCCAAGCAGCTGTCTCCAACTCTCTCAGCTCTGCTTCCCTGAACTTCCTGTCCAGTACAAGATCAGAAAGGACAGCAAAGTCTCCAGCAGCTATTCATCTACTAGCTTGAAGAAGAAAGCAGGAGGAGGGAGAGTTGCTTTGCTATGCCTGTATGCTTGTGGAGACACACACAACTGACATGGGTGGCTCCATAGGACCCTGCAAGGGAAAAGAGCCACCCTTAAACAGGATATCAGGGCCAGTGCTCAGGGAACAGGCTGATTCTGCAGGAAGCTAAAACCGCATTCATTGTAAGTGATTCATTGTCCAGTAAGTTTCTAAATGTTTTTTTATCATATACCATCTCACCTTTTTCTTCCACTTCCTTGTCATACTCAGCGGCGTAGTGATCTGAAATGAGAACCGGCTTAGTAGAGTCTTGGATAGCATGAATCAGATAACACAAAGGTCCCATATCTTCTATCTCTTTACCAGTGCAAGTGACACCTTGATGTCCATCTCTGCAGGAACACACATTAGGAGCGATACAGTACCCACTGCCACAGCCAAATGAACACAGTGCTGCAAGAAAGAAAAATATTTGCCAGGTCTATTGAAGATATTAAGGCAGAACTATTGGGGTGCAAAAGGGACAATGGC